GGGAGGGGCACTCTTAATAAACACCAAGTCCCACATCCTTACGCAAGTTCCTCTGGCGTGGTGTACTGTCGGTGCACCTGTTTCCCAGTCTCAGTAATGTCCTGGTCCACGTTAAAAAAAGATAGCGTAATCATTAATCTTTAAAAAAGACAAAAATTTTGATAATCATAATAAGGAAGTTGTCAGAATGTGCGTCTTCAATGAGTTAATGACATACAGAACACATGATAATAATTATCGTCAGCAGAACAAATGCAATTTTTGGTAAATTTTGCACCATCATACACAAAGCAGTAACATGATTTTGCATATTCCATTTTGATATGCATGTTATTGCAACACCTTTTAAAGTTTCAGATAAATAAGCCATGATGGAAATATTATATTAGGTTTGAATAATGAAGTTATGCCTCAAAACAGTGCATCTTCAGAAGTTGTCTAATGACCAGTATACACGTTTTCAAAGAGTTAAGAAACAGTCTGTTCGTTACAAAACTCATATTCCATCTCCCTTCTTCCCAAGACCCCCCCCCCCTTCCCATCCCAAAAATCCCTTTCTATCTCTCAATTTTCGTTCTTTCTAAGAGTCCCCAATACCAGAAAAACGCTTCTTCTAGCTCAAAAGAACCCCCTTCAAGCTCCTCTCAAGGACCCCCCCAACCCCCCAAGAAGAAAAACATAAGTCCCTAAGAACGCCCTCCTAGCTCTTAACAAATTCCCCCTTTTCTAACCTTTGTGTCTACTTACATAGCTATGGAGCCTCTGTGGAGGTGGCATGAAGGGCGTGCTGGTTGCATTGGAGAAGTCACCTGCGGAAAAGAGAATACAACAAAAATTAACTTCACTTTCCCCAGTTCACCAAGCAGTAAAGGGTGCAATACTGTTTATCCACCAGATACCTTAACTCTGGTCCTCGACTTTCCAAAACAGCAGTTAGCAGGATGGCGGTCTCTTAGGTGAGTAGGTGGTTTGCCGGTGCTCTGGTGTGGGTTGCTCCTTGTTTCCTATCAAGCATCTATCTTCAGTATATTTTCTTATTCCCTGTGTATGTTACTCTCCAGTTGAAACACATCTAATCTCCGGCACCTATATGACATTTGTGTTGCTAGTGCCGTAAAACTCTTACCAATTAAAAAAATCTCTAAAGGATGAGAGACCCATCACACCTATTTAGAACTTTCATAAAACCTGAAATTCAAGATAAAAGCGGTTCCACTTCTACAAAAAGGCTAAGATATATGTTTTCTTAACCGAGCCGAGAAAGATGCTTTCTTCACAAGGCCCAGAAAGACGTTTTCCTCACTAAGCCGAAACAGACATTTTGCTTTCTAAACCGAAAAAAGATATTTTGATCACCAGGCCGAGAACGATATTTTTCCTCACTTAGGCAAGAAATATATCTTCTTCACAAGCCCAGAAGCTGCTTTGTTCATCAGACAAAGAAAAGTGTTTTTCTCACAAGGCCGAATACTGGTCATGAAGTACAACAAACACAACTTTTACCTTTACACGTGACGCCTACCACGTGTAGAGAGAGAAAGGTGGTCTTTGAAGACGGTAGCTCAATAAATTATTGGAAGGGTACGTCTAGGCTCAACTTTGACAAACAAACACAAACTTACGACAAACGTTTAGCACAGTAATTCGTTCTTCAAATATCAAGTGACGCAGTCGACCTACATGTGACGAACGTTGACGAATTTCGGCGGCATATTTTGATGAACGACCAATTATAGGCGATGCCCATTGGCATCATCGGTGCGGCTCGGTTCGGTTTTGTCGGTTTGGTGCCAGCCGGATTGTCCTCCACGGGAGAGGCAAAACCGACAAAACCGACAAAACCGACACAACAGATGATGACCTTCAATAAAAAAACGCGTTTTGTTTTCAAGGACCCGCGTCGGGTGATCAGTTTGGGCAGTAAGTTGGTCTATTTATAGTGTGAGCTGATGCCGCCAGAAACAGAACCGACCCAATCCTCAAAGGGGCACCGCCAATAATGTACTTCATTTTTCTTTCTCTTGGTGTTTGTCCATTTTCCAGAGTCATTGGGGCTCAGTGTGGCCACACCAGAGTGTGGGAACAGCCAGCTGCCACGTCGTGTGAAGAGTAAGGACGAATCCTGACGTCTGAGGTTATCCACCTCGTTTGGTTCGTTTTTCGTAAATATGCAATTTTGAAAAAAATTTCATAAGTAATTTAGCTTCTATCAATACAGTTGAGCAAACTGTTTGAAGAAGTTATGTCGTTACAGTCAGCGCAATAGTTAACTCAGAAATATTGCGCTAACTGTAGCGGTACAATTTCTTAACACGGGTTGCTCAACTGTAATGATAGAAGCAAAATTACTCACGAAAAAAAGAACCAAACGAGTTATATCGATCCAAGATCATATAAGTACAAAATACGCTTCATTCTAGTTACCGTGGTAGTGACGTAAGTAAATAAATAGCTCAAGTATCGAAAGGAATCAAAAGTAATTAAGGAATTCTTTGGAACGTTATTACCTTATGTCAACAAACCTGATCTTTACGGAATTACGTAGAAGTGAAGCATTGTGTCAACCCAGGAAAGACGTAGCTGGTTAAATAGGTAAGAAATAATACACCCTCCCATAATTGTTGAAAGCGGCATTATTGGATGTAACCTCTTCCGCAGCAGGGTGGAATCTGATTATTAACTCGTGTGTCGTACTACTACTATAAAATATATCAAGGATCCCATGTGCAGCTTTTAAAAAAATGTTCAGTGAACCGTATTGAAGAAACACAAACACTCCAATAACGATACTTTATGTGTTCCGTGTTTCTATTCCTACACAAACCGCTCTGTTATGATGGAAACACAATGGCGATGGTCTGGTATTTTTGCAGTAACAATGGCTTTGCTCTCAAACATTTTATCGCTTCCACAGGTGTCGGATGCCAGTTCTATAGAGTGAGTACAGCAACCACTATGGCTCCAGCTTATTTTTCTCTCAATGTCTGTTGGCACCCCTTAGTTTAATTTTACCTGCCTTATGAGTAGGTTCATTTGTCTAGAAGGAAAACTGAAACAGTTACGGATATTAATAATATGTGTGTGTACTTTGTGCGATAATATGTTTGGGGGGGGGGGGGGGTCGTTTCTTTTTTTCGTAGTTGTTTTTTTGTTCTTGTTGTTTTGTTTTGGGTTTTTTTTTAATAGAAAGAGGTGACGATATGGGGTGGAGTGGAAGAGCTCAAAGTGCTGGCTGTTTGTACTAGTGTGAAACAAAGCTTTGAATTACATTTTAGTGTCTAATAACTGCTTACTGCGGAATTAATTTCTTTTTAATCAGCAAAGGAAGTACTGTATATTGTCGAATCTAAAAGTTCGTTGACTAATGGAATTTCATTTTCTATGAAAATTATGCTACCCCGATTCTCCGAAACGTGATTTTCCTGTCCTCTCTCCACGAACTTAAAAACAATTCTGTTTACTGATTATCATTTATTCACTTGTCTCTTTGTTTTGAACTGAACTCGTATTCTCTTTGTTCTCTCTAATACGGTTTATTTTGGGTTCCCCAGAACACAGACGTACTCTAAACGAGAACACAGCGAGGCCCCAGCGAATGGGTACACAACTTTGGGCGAGTACACAAACACTCGCTCCGTCATCTCGTGTTGCAGCTTGTGCGACAGAATCCCGAACTGTTTATATCTTCTTTACCACAAGAATTCTCGGGCCTGCCATCTGCTCGGGCGCGATACCGGGGGGAGTTCAAATTTAGTGGAACTTGAAAATTATCCAGAATGGAATTTTTACGTGCAAAACGTCCCGTGCCTCTACGATTTCATCGAGGAGTTAAACAAATGTGTGCAGTTTGAAACATCGAATCCACTGCCATGGGCTGAAGCCAGAACGGATTGCGAATCTAGAAATGGCCACCTTCTCATAGTCAGCGGAGATTCTGAGTTTATGTATTTTATTTCCTATTTTCAAATTAATTATCCTGACAAAGATTTTTCTGTGGGAGCCGAATATATCAACCCTGGTGAATTTCGATGGTTTAACGGCGACCCGGTGACGTCATATTTCTGGGCCAATAACCACTTGCCAGACAATAGCTTTGGTGATGAATTTTGCATGGGTATGCGAAAGGATGATGGTTTCTATCTGAATGACATTGGTTGCCTCTACTATCCCATCGAATACGTTTGTGAATATTCTGTAGCTTAAACGACTATGTGCTCGCTGGTGCATAGTGAAATAAAAAGGGGAAATCTGGTTAAAAAAAAACAAAAGACGTATTTCGTTTCCTATTATCAAACTAATTATCCTGACAAAGATTTTTATGTGGGTGCCGAATACTTCAACCCTGGTGAATTTGGGCAGAATGGAATACAGTATCTCAGTACAAAGATGGTGAAATAAGATATAAAATGTGTGGTTTCGTTGTGAAATCAGGCAATCGTCAGAATAATAATAATGAAATCATTGCTGATTGGGAAACCCGCGTAACCAGTTTTAAGTCAAATTGCTGACAGTCCACAACGTGGAATCAGACGGCTGTCTGAGATATCAAGTACATATTATGTAGAACGTTGTCGGCTATACCCCAGGAACAAAACAATAACAAGCAACAAAAGCAAATCAACAAACAAACAAGCAAACAAGCAAAAATAATCCAGCCCAAAACAACAAAAGTCTCAGATCCTGAAAAATAATTATTATCTCAAGGGTTACAGTTGTCGATGTCTGTCCCCTCTATATTTGTGTGTGTGTGTGTGTGTGTGTGTGTGTGTGTGTGTGTGTGTGTGTGTGTTTGTGCGTGCATGTAGCTTAAACGACTATGTGCTGGTGCACAGTGAAATAAAAAGGGGAAATCCGGTAAAGAACCAGCAGACGTATTTCGTTTCCTATTTTCAAACTAATTATCCTGACAAAGATTTTTATGTGGTTGCCGAATACATCAACCTGGTGAATTTGGACTGAATGGAATAGAGCATCCCAGTACAAAGACGGAGAAATTAGAGATGAAATGTCTTGTTTCGTGGTGAATCAGGCGATCGTCAAAATAATGAAATCGAAAAAATCGGACAATTTTAAAAATCTATTTTGTTTTCATTCTTTTTTTTTTTCAAACACCTTTGGAGTCCATAAAAAAGAATACATTTCTGTGTTGATTTTTCTTAAAAACGTAAATCAAACACACACAAAAATATTATTATGGATATAACATTGCCGTTTCCAAGAACATTCAAGCTTTGGAAATCACCAAACTGACGGCTATTTTCTCTTTAAGTTTTATCTCTGACACCCCCACCTCCTTCAATTGCAAATTCTCGACTTCTATTCAAGATAGATGAGTAATTTTTTTCATTAAAAGAAAGACAAATGAACAGGCTTTAAGATGGGACTAATAACTCCATATTATGTTCAAACTGACGAGCATCTGATTCCACCGGGTCGAGACACGAACTTACGTCTTTTGCTTGAAAAGGCGATCAATGTCATTTGATCACACCAAAACATTATTACTCAGCAGACACTTTATAGTCTCTCTTTTGTGCTCAGGGCTGAGTGCTCATGTTTTGTGTATTTGACAAGTGCGACTGAGATAATAAGTGATAAGATTGTAATGAGGATCTTAAACATGATTATGAATACAATTCCCTTACGAAGATCATGAAATGAGCTTTTTTCTTTCTTTTTTTTCTCCTATAGTTCCTAGTTTTTGTTTATTTAGACACTGCACGCACAGCTGAGGTTTGTTATTACGAACAGTTTAAAAGAATAATTTGAGTAAGAACCATTGACTTGAATTCTTCTATCCTAGGTCGTG